TCAACTCATTACTCTGTGTACCGTGTGCAGAGTTATGGTTAACCTAAGGAGTCCTCGAGGGACAACACATGGGAGTTCAGATCCCATTGCAGTTGGATTGGCTGAGATGCGGGCTGTTATGTGTTGCGTAAAATCGGCAAGTGCACCGATCCTACCAAGTAATAAAATAGTGAGTAGAGATCGTCTCCACGAGGATTAAGGCACCGAATTTATTTTTGACTATTCATTTCTTATTGGATGAACAAAATTTGGTTTGAGAGTAATTGTGTTTGTAAAAATTGTGAACTATTCAAGATTTGTGAACAATTCAGAGATAAATTTGAAAACTTAAGAGTAAAAGATTACGATTGAGAAAATATGTAAAAGCCTATTGCAGTAAAGGATGCCAACACATTTCTGATCCCCACCTTGTAATATTAATTAAAGTTTACAGTTAATTACCCAATTGATCAAACAATTCACCATCTATTAATTGATTAGTTAAGCCCTAATTCCTTAGTGATCTTAACTTTACTAACCCTATTAGAATCCTTTTTGAGTTAATCCTTTAAATTAGTGAATTTTCCACGTTTGCAGTTCATGTAGCCTATCCCTAGTGCATACATGAACTGTTATTTTACCCATTGTCAGGAACTAGAATCCCAATATTCCTATTGAAAACCCTAACCCTCGCAATCCTAATAGAGTGATCAATTCTAGAAGAATTAGAGATGAAGAACAAGGTAAAATAAATGCAATTGAAATAATTAAATGTAAAAACTAACCAAACTACAAGGGGTTCACATCAAGGGTTGTGACCCTTACCACAATATTAAAAGACTAGAAAGACATATTCATGTCTGACAATTTAAATAATGAGAAAGAGTTCATGAAAATGTAAAACCGAAAGAAGAAGAAGAAGTCTAGAATCTTCAGTTACCGAGAGCTTCCTCTCCAATTTCTCCTTGCCAAAAGATGATTTTCTTTTAGAGTTTCTGCTTTCTTTATATAGTCAGCTACTCAATCAGGTCATAATCCTTGAATTAATTTTGATTAAATTTCCATTTTCCTCATAATTCCACCAATCAATCAGGTCATAATCCTCTAATTAATTCTGATTAAATTTCCATTTTTCTCATAATTCCACCAATCAGGTCATAATCCTCTCATTAATTTGATTAAATTTTTATTTTCATCAAACTCCACAAATCAAGGAATGCATTCATGATGCCCGCGTGATCAGTGCCAAATTCGCGACTCCACAAATCAAGGACTGCATTCATGACGCCTGTGCGATCAGCGCCAAATCCGCGCGGACAAACAGAAAGTAATTTGCCAAAATCACACGGATCGCGCCATTTTCGCGCTTTTTGCGCGAGACTATGCAATTTCAACTTCTCTCTTTCACTTCTTTTTGGTGTTTCCTGCTATCAAAATGCATAAATTGAGTGAGAGAATGATTGAGAAGGAATAATCAATATTTCTTGCATTTATGAGCTTATTTTCACACATTTATGATTAATTCCTTGCTTCTTTTACTTAGAAATCACCATATGTTAGACACATATCAAACAATTCCCAAATTTAGATGTTGCTGTCCTCAGCAATAAATAAGATCAAACATCAGGCAGCAAGGATTAACTCTGTGAGAAGAATTTATATCACTAATGCAATTTTCTACATTGAAGAGATTCAGAGTTATAATGCTATGCATGAGTGAATTCCAAGTTGAGAATTTTCAGGAATCTCTTTTGGTGTAAGGAATTAGAATCTAGTTTGATCACTTCTTACCAGGATAATCACTGCACTTGTCACTCTTGTGTATTGGATTTAACTCTCAATCCATCAGTGCAATAAGACTACCATAAGCTTGATCCTATTCTCAAGTTCCTAAAGATGAGGAACATGTAAAACATGCACAATTAGATCCAAAGGTCTTTGCAGGGTTGTAACTTGGCTTAGGCTAAGGTATGAATATTTAGGAAAGTGGTTACTTTTTACTGTATATGAGATTGAAACACAACTATTTACTTTCAGTTGTTCATACTCAGACACAATTTCACTTAGTCTTTTCCTTTCTATGCATACTTTTCCTTTTTCTTCTTGACCTTTTCATGCTTTGTTGTTGCTTTGCAACTTTTCATTTTGTTTCTTTTCTCTTTGGTCCCAGCTTTTGCTTTCACTATCACTTTATTTCGGTGAAATTGTTCCTTGAATATCTATAATCAGTGCTTCAATCTCATCCAAGGTGTGTTGATAGGAATTAAGCTAAGAGTCTTATGGTTAAATTCAACAAGAAACAACAGGCTAAGGCTCAAAGGGCTAGCAATGAAATTTTTTATTTTATTTTTCGGGTCAGCTATTTGGCCAATGAGTTAACAAGAAAGAATTGCCTTTAACATTTCAGATCATGCATATATTACAGAGAAACAAATCAAGTTCTAGAGTATTATCACAGTGAGGTCTCTCTAAAAAAATTTATTGTATAGGCTCAAACCTCACGGCTGTGCAATCAAACTAGAATCTAAATTCCATTATCATCACATATCAACTGTAACTCTCAACAAAGAATTCGATCAAACGAGCAATAACAACTCTTATACTTCAATGCATTACTCAAAACATTAATCCATTATGACTTCTCACACAGTATCTTATATGCTCTCTAAGATTTAATCATCTTATTGCATAAGTAGCTAACACATATCTAGGTATGTTGCTCAGAGAATTTCTTCTATCAAAACCAAATATCAAAACAAAAACAAAAATATCAACAGAAATTGAGACAAAAGGTTCAGATATCTCCCCTGATTCAGAAATTTTTTCTGTTGGAGGTCATTTCTGTCTGGTTCCGCTGTACCGCATGTGGTGCGCTCAATTCCCAGATTTAGAACATTGCTGTCCCCAGCAATATAAACTAAATTAGGCAAAGAATAAGAAATTTTGTGCAAGTAACACACTCACACTGGTTAAAGCATCAAGTCAACATATATCAAAAGATATCTAAACATCATAACATCTCAATTGTCTCCACACAAAACAAGAATGTAAAAACATAATCAAAATAACAAATAACAAAAAATAAAAAAATAAAAAAAATAAATAAAAATAAATAAATAAATTGAAAAGGACTGACTCAACATTCTTGGGTTGCCTCCCAAGAAGCGCTTGTTTAACGTCACGAGCCTGACGTACCTCTTGTGATTTATGGTGGTTGGAAGCACGCTACCTTTGATGACCCAGTCTTCTTGGTCCAGTATTGTTTCCTTCCATGATCATATGCATGTGGATGAGGAGGAGGGTTCTCAAGAACTTTAAACTTAGTTTCCACATATTTTTCCTTGCTCTTGGGCTTTCCCATCTTCACCTTTGGCTTGCTTCTTTCATGCCATTGATGAACTTCCTTCTTGTTCCCTTCCTCAGCCTTTTTCTCCGTAATGTAATTGACTTGATTCTTAGGTTGAGACGCAAGCAATGAAGGAGCTTCATTTATGAGTACCTTGAATGTTGCTTGCTCTCCATCCACGCGCATTATCAATTCACCCTTAGGTACATCGATTAACGCTCCTGAGGTTTCTAAGAATGGCCTCCTGAAGATCATAGGCACACTGGCATCTTCATCAATGTCAAGGATGACAAAATCAACAGGAATTAGAAATTTGTCTACCTTGACTAGCACATCTTCCACAATACCATGTGCTTGCTTTGTTGAGCGGTCGGCCAGTTGAACATTCATCCTACTTGGCTTCACTTCATTAATTCCCAGCTTATTCATCAGATTTAATGGCATCACATTAATGCTAGCACCAAGATCGCATAAGACTCTCTCTACAGTCGTCTTGCCAATGGTGCATGGAATACTGAAGCTTCCTGGATCCTTCAACTTTGGAGGCATGTTTTTCTCTAAGATTGCACTGCACTCCTCTGTTAGTGTAATCGGTTCATCCTCTGTGAGCTTCCTCTTCTTAGATAATGTTTCCTTCAGGAATTTGGCATATGAAGGCATTTGCTCCAGAGCTTCTGCAAAAGGAATATTAATATGTAATTTCTTAAAAATATCTAAAAATTTAGAAAATTTCTTCCTTTGCTCATTTTGCTTGGGCCTCACTGGATATGGAAGTTTCTCAAAACGTGAGAAATCCCATTGCTTCTTTTGAACTGCAGGAGGTTGTTCTTTTGCTTTTTCTTTGCCTTCTTGAGTGTGCTCATTCTTTCCTGTAGAAGCTTCAACTTCCTTTTTTTCTAGCTCCTCACTTTTAGTAGTGATGGCATTGCAGTGCTCCCTTGGATTCACAATGGTATCACTAGGGATTGTTCCTTGACTCCTTTCAGCAAGTTGTCTTGAAAGTTGGCCTATTTGAGTCTATAAGTTTCTAATGGATGCATCTTGATTCTTGTGGTAGGCTCTTGTCTCATTTATGTGATCATTAGTGGTCTTGGAAAACTGTATCATCGCTTTCTCCAATTCCGATGGCTCTTTATGTGGAAGAGAAGGAGGTTGCAGATAATTGTTGGAGTTGTAATCCAGACCTCCACCTTGATTTCTCCTCTGAAAGTTGTTCCCTTGGCCGCCATTCTGATTCCTCTGGTAACTTTGGGTATTCTGTGGTGGCCTTGGATCATACCAAATTCCATTGACCTGGAATGGTTCAGCTCCACTGAATGTAGGGCACTCATTAGTATCATGCGGCTCCTTGCAGTACTCACAGTTAAATACATTAACTTTAGATGTTGAGATCTGCATCTTGTCGAGCTTGGCATTCAGACTGGCTAGCTGTTGAGAGATTACTTTTTGCTCAGCTAGTGACGCATCATTGTTCCCCAGTTGTAAGATTCCTTTCTTGGGTTGAAATGGCTGAACTTCCATTGAAGCATTATCGGTTCTCGCCATGTAAACAATCAGTTCCAGAGTTTCAGCTTCTGTCTTCCTTCTTATGGTTCCACCGGCTGCACCGTTGAAAACCATCCTGGAGTCGGGTGTCATCCCATTGTAGAAGACTCTGACCTTCTTGTCATAAGGGAAGTCATATTGAGGGCATTTTCTGATCAACTCCTGGAATCTAGCCCAGGCTGCACAGAGTGTCTCTCCCGGCTGCTGAATGAAGTTGGTGATTTCATTCACCAACTTATTGTACTTTTCCCGAGAAAAATTCTCAGCAAAGAACTTAGCGGCTAGTTCATCCCATGTTCGGATACTGTTAGGAGCTTGTCGATCTAGCCATCTGAGGGTTTTTTCGGTCACAGTAAAAAGAAACAACTTGTGTCTGATTGCATCATCAGACACTCTATGATGCTTAGTGGTGTCACAGATTCTCAGAAATCTGTCATTGAAGTCGGAGGATCTTCGTAATCCTCTTCACCGAAAGAGTTCTTCTCCACCAAGTTAATCAGAGACGGGTTGATATCAAAATTGTTGGCCTCTATGTGTGGCCGGACAACACTAGAGTTCGGCCTCGTGAACATAGGAGCAAGAATTGACTCCATCAACTCTGCTGCAAGAGGTGGAGGAGGAGGTTGATTATTAGCATCCATGACTTGTTTAGTGTGTGGCTTGGAACTTGCAGATTCTTCTTGCTTTCTCTGCTTGGCTTGTTTTCGATTTTCCTTTGCAGTTTTCTCAATTTCTGGATCAAACTGTAAAGAATCTCGATCTAATTTACCTCGCATAAACTACAGCAAAAAGATCAGTAACAAAACAATATACAATCAAGAAATTCAAAAGTTAAAAATAAAATTGGCGTAGTCAATCCCCGACAACGGCGCCAAAAACTTGTTGCGTAAAATCGGCAAGTGCACCGATCGTACCAAGTAATAAAATAGTGAGTAGAGATCGTCTCCACGAGGATTGAGGCACCAAATTTTTTTTTGACTATTCATTTCTTATTGGATGAACAAAATTTGGTTTTAGAGTAATTGTGTTTGTAAAAATTGTGAACTATTCAAGATTTGTGAACAATTCAGAGATAAATTTGAAAACTTAAGAGTAAAAGATTACGATTGAGAAAATATGTTAAAAGCTATTGCAGTAAAGGATGCCAACACATTTTCGATCCCCACCTTGTAATATTAATTAAAGTTTACAGTTAATTACCCAATTGATCAAACAATTCACCATCTATTAATTGATTAGTTAAGCCCTAATTCCTTAGTGATCTTAAATTTACTAACCCTATTAGAATCCTAATCCCTTAGAAATCCTTTTTTGAGTTAATCCTTTAAATTAGTGAATTTTCCACGTTTGCAGTTCATGTAGCCTATTCCTAGTACATATATGAACTTTTATTTTACCCATTGTCAGGAACTAGAATCCCAATATTCTTATTGAAAACCCTAACCCTCGCAATCCTAATAGAGTGATCAATTCTAGAAGAATTAGAGATGAAGAACAAGGTAAAATAAATGCAATTGAAATAATTAAATGTAAAAACTAACCAAACTACAAGGGGTTCACATCAAGGGTTGTGACCATTACCACAATATTAAAAGACTAGCCAGATAGATTCATGTCTGACAATTTAAATAATGAGAAAGAGTTCATGAAAATGTAAAACCGGAAGAAGAAGAAGAAGTCTTGAATATTCAGTCACTGAGAGCTTCCTCTCCAATTTCTCCTTGCCAAAAGATGATTTTCTTTTAGATTTTCTGCTTTCTTTATATAGCCAGCTACTCAATCAGGTCATAATCCTTGAATTAATTATGATTAAATTTCCATTTTTCTCATAATTCCACCAATCAATCAGGTCATAATCCTCTAATTAATTCTGATTAAATTTCCATTTTTCTCATAATTCCACCAATCAATCAGGTCATAATCCTCTCATTAATTTGATTAAATTTCCATTTTCATCAAACTCCACAAATCAAGGAATGCATTCATGACTCCCGCGCGATCAGTGCCAAATTCACGACTCCACAAATCAAGGACTGCATTCATGACGCCTGCGCGATCAGCGCCAAATCCGCGCGGATCGCGCGGACAAACAGAAAGTAATTTGCCAAAATCACGCGGATCACGCCATTTTCGCTCGTTTTGCGCGAGACTATGCAATTTCAACTTCTCTCTTTCACTTCTTTTTGGTGTTTCCTGCTATCAAAATGGTGAGAGAATGATTGAGAAGGAATAATCAATATTTCTTGCATTTATGAGCTTATTTTCACACATTTATGATTCATTCCTTGCTTCTTTTACTTAGAAATCACCATATGTTAGACGCATATCATTATGCAAGTTGAGTTAGGAGCGATTAGAAGGGCTAATCAGGCTATAATGGACACCATGCGAGAGACAAACTGGAAGGCTATTGAGGACGTAATAAAGGCTAACCGACTGGCGAATATGGCTGTGATGCGAGTCATGTTGGAGGAGATGAGGATTGGTCGGAATGACGGTTAGTATCCACCACCACCACCACCACCACCACTGCCTACATTCCATCACCAGGATATGAATGAAAATGGAGGGACGCATGTTCAGAAGAACATTGGACAAAGAAACATGGAGAACGCGAGTAGCTATTTCAGTATGATCCAGCCACACTACGAACCCATTGAGGACTAGGAGACGAGAGAACTCAAGCTGAATGCTTTTCGTAAGTATAATCCACCTTCATTTGATGGAGCCTATGATACTATCATCACAGCTAGATGGTTTCAAGCCTTGGATAAGATCTTCAGGGTGATGCAGAGCGCTGAACAGCAAAAGTTGATGTTTGCCACCTACTAGCTAGAAGGAGATGCTTATGAGTGGTGGACGAACTCCTCTATGGCTTATGAGATGCAGGGCCAGATTATGACTTGGCAGTTCTTTAAGGAGCTGTTCCTGGGAAAGTATTTCCCCTATGATGCTATGGAGCAAAAATAGGGAAAGTTTGAACGCCTTGTACAGGGCTCAATGTCAGTTGACGAGTGTTTGTCTAAGTTCAATGAGCTAGCTAAGTTTGCTAACTTTAGAATGGCGATGCCTTCACAGGAGTTCTTGGCTTCCAAGTTCAGAAGAGGCCTAAATGAAGAGATATCTAGGAGGATTACCGGAGCTGCATCTAGAGACTTTGGCACTTTGATCCAGCAGTGTCGTGACATAGAGGAAATATGCGTAGTCAACAAGGCAAAGAGAATTAAAGAGTCTGAGGCTAAAAGAGTTAATGGTTCCTCTCGAGGGAGGGACAAGGGGTACGTGGACAGGAACAAAAGAAAGGGTTTGCAAGGCAAGCAGTTGTTTAATAAATTCAAGAAGAAAATTCTACTCATTCTGGGAACTATGTGAGGCCTGCCCATATTTCCAGATGTGCTGGGTGTGGGAAGGAACATACGGGGCATTGTGCTTCGGGACAACTTGTGTGTTTCAAGTGTGGCAAGAGTGGTCACTTTGCTTACCAGTGTTTCCAAGGTCAGGCCAAGGTTACAGTGGCACATGCTATTCCTCTTCAGATGATTCCTGCACCACCAGTTACTAGTAGAGTCTACACTCTAGATTGTCAGTGGTCTAATAGTGCTTCGAACCTCGTGAGAGGTATGGTTTACATTGGTGGAAATAACATTGATGTGTGGTTAGACTATGGGGCTACGTATTTACGTATTGCGAGTCTGATTGCCGTGGGGCTAACCTTGCCCATATCTAAGCTTTCTCTATCTCTGAGGGTTACTACCACTACAGGGGAGAAATACGATGCTTCATCTATTTATCAAGATAAGGTATTTCAGTTGAATGGTCAAGGCTGCATAGCAGATCTTATTTGTTTATCCATGGTCAACCTTGAGATCATTTTGGGTACAAACTGACTGTTGAGAAATTATGAGTGTTGGATTATTGTGATATCATTATATGATGTCTAAATTATATTTTATATATTGAATGTGGCAATAAAGTGTTTGGTAATATAACCTGAGGAACTAGGTTGATTGAGTGGGTTATTGGCCATCAACGTATTGTGGATTATCCCTGGAAGAGATGTATCCGAAGAAGTTTCCTCTGAGGAGTTTGATTGGACGCTCAGTTGATGTTTGATTCATTGAGTGGTCCTTGTGTACGAGGTGCACGGGAGGCTGGTATGCCTAATTGTTCTTCGGCCAATAATCTATGTCAGGGGCTTTCCTTTAGGGATTGGATCCTAAGAGTGTTGACTCTTGGAAGTCCCATGAGGGCACCGATTTGAGTGTGACTCATCGGGGGTCCTGTGCACGAGGTGCACAAATCAATCAATTTTAGTTTGCCTCATGGTATAATGATTCATTGAGAGACTTGACATATGAGTTTATACTCTACAACCACCAAATGGTGGGATGATTAACATATACAAAGAGTGATATGACAAAGTTTGACATGAATGGTAAGATGTCTTACGCCATTATATAATCTGTGATGATGCTTTATTTTAACAACGTAAGAGATGATATCTTATTGTGTGTGAGTGAAAAACACTCTCTAGTCAGGTTTGTTTGAGAGTGTGAAATTCTCTTTAAGGAATTAAGTGTGTAACACTTGGACTTTATGGCAAGGCCATGCGTGACCTTGTATATGCGAGACAGGTGCATGTACAATTAGTTTTGTGGGTTGAGTGTTCTAATGACTCCAGGTTAATATGTAAATTGTTGATCAGCCACATATGTTGATTGCATGTGAACACCATGGAAAGTACTAAGCATGAAAAAAATGCTATGAACTGTGTTAATTTATCGATGTTATACCATCCTTTATTGACTTTCAATCTTGCAGATGCCATGGAGATTGAGGTATGCAGTTAAGTAGAATTATTGTACCTTTCTGTTTGAATTGTAAACTTTGCAGGTAACATGAACTGAGGTATGCCACTGGGTGAATTGGTATATTAATTAAAATGTATTGATTGAAATGAACATGAATATGATTTTGTACTATGAAAGAAACTATGGCTTTATTTTAAAAGAGTAATGACTTATGGAGATTGTAAGTCGTGACATAATAGAGTCATGGAATAGAACCTAAACTCACCCAAGTTAGTGTGAAGTAAAGTCACTGGGTCAGGTTATATTTGCGGATGGAGTGACTGTTGGCCCTAGTAAAATCGAGGAAATTATAAAGTTGGAAGGGTCCCTGAATGTCTTAGAAATCAGGAACTTTCCTTGTTGATAAATTCTGAAAGGATATTCATT